AACAAAATCACTTGATCAATGCCGAGGTTAATAGAAAGTCGGTCGTGGCAGTTACTGCAGGATGTACCAGCAAGATACTTGGTTGTTTATCTCAATTTCGATGCTCAGAAACACCTTTATTAGCGGTGAGGCGAAAAACTATTGAGGAGAGCGTCGTATGTGAAAAATAAATGTCCCATCAAGGCAATAAAACCGTCTTTCAACAAGATAACATCAATACAGATCATAGATTGCTTTGAAATAAACAAATCTGCATGAAGTCAGTGATATGAAGTATTGTCTGTACAATAGCTCGCTTAAACTAGGCTGCTGATAATATAGCCATACTTTCAGAAACAATGAAAGCTATATCACGATCGCGATGCAGGCTCGAAATCGCTCCGGCGTTATCAAGCCTCTCAACCCTCAGAAGAAGGGAAATTGGTACCAGACTTATCTGGTAACATTCACTCCTGCAATTCAAGTAGGAACGCTCTAGCTCGCCTATCCCAAGACTCCAGAGAGACGCGACCTGCATTAAACTGCATTCGTAAAGAACACCGAAAATCCTCAGACAGCAGCCGAATCCATGGACGAAAAGTTGAAGGCCAAAGTGGACGGTGGATGCGACGAAGGGATGCGAATACAAGAGGTATTGGGATCAGCAAAATAGATGTTAGGAAGAGTCGTGGAAATTTTTTTAAAACAGAAGCCATTTTTGTTACAGAAAAAACTACTCAACAAATGGATAGCTGTCAAGAAGTGGGAACTCACTCGAATACTTTCTCTGGATTGTATCTTGAGTCCCTCAAAAGGCTCTTTGAATGCGCGTCGATTACTCACCAAGTCACTCGACAAAACCGTAAACCTTCAAAGAAAACTTATAAATCGTTTTTTTTGAAAACTTGTACTGAAAGAAAATGTTCATTTTCACTTATAACTAACTTATTACTACTATTATGGCAGGAAAGAACAAGAAGATCGGCAATCATTGTGCACACGAACGGGCACACATAAGTGATGAGAGCTTCGAACAGTGCCACCCACTTGTAACCTTCATCACTGAAACACTCATATTCATTCCAGATTACGAAGTGAAACGCTTTACATCAGAATGACACTGTAATTTCAGTATTGAAAATATTTCTTCATACTTGATACTTGAACGACCCGCCCTCACTGGTTGTGCGGGCCCCAGCATAATCACCATTTTTCGGAGATTTGCTGGTTAAGCCATTATGGCTCCCTGGAGTCCCGAGGCCAGCCTGGCCAGAGTCTGCTCCAGGTCTTCACCATCACAGACATTCGCAGCGCTTGTGGATCAGAGGGAGATTTACCACCATACGACTTTGATACCAGGATGGTAGTTGATCCTGGCATTGGTTTACTCTTAGCTAGGCTTCCTGTTGGAAACGCCGGACTCCTTCTCTGCTTGGGAGACCTTGCCGGAGGAGGGGGAAATCTCCTGCTGTACATTGCAGTCCGACACCCATGAACACCTCCCAGCCACGATGAGGTGGTAAGCTGTTGGAAGAATTTTTTCATAAAAGCTATAATATTTTCTAAATCCATTTGAAAGAATTAAACTACAACAACAACGTTCTAATATGACAAATTTATTAGAAATTTTGAGAGTGTTGATCGCTCATCAGGAAAGTAAGTGACCTTAAGCGTTCTAAATACCGCAGCCTTTCTCGGTGTGAAAATTTTAACTGTCAGAGTTTTCCTGTCCTCATTGCCTAGACAGTAACGCAACTGTCAACAGAGAATTTCTGAACGGATTGATTGGTAGCGCAAAGCAATTCGAAGGTCACAAGAAGGAATTGTTTCTTCCTCAGTACTTCTTCTGAATTCCTACATTAGAATCACATTCAAGTGTATTTATCAGATAGACAGAAGAAGGTTACGGAATCTCGTAATAGTGGTCTGACATACCTCATTATTGTGGTATCCCTTTCACATGTTACGGCTATCACACCTTCACCGATACTTACATATCTTTCGGTCACCAGAACCAGTGGCCAACTCTAAAAAGACAGCATGTTAATAAAGAATTTGGTTTAGTGAGAAAATCAAAAACGGTGTCAATGGCAGATTTGTATCAGGTTAAATATTTCTTTTTACGCGATCCATTCACTTCTAAGATGAAGGTTTTAAGGGCACTCCAGTGACTGGCTAGATTTCCAATTACAGAGTGTTGTTGGATTCGCGACTGATCTCTGCCCATGGTTTCCTAATGCAGCCAATAAAAAATGCCCTTTTTCGTATGTATGTTAGGTTGGCTGGTATGTCTATGTGTTGTCCAACGATACAAATATATTATAATAAGGATAAAGCTCTCGGCGTTGATCAATCCCTGAGGAATGCGCCTTACAGTGGACTTAATTAGGTATCGTTTGGAGGTGACTGAATGCATGCATACCTGAGCTATAAGATAACGCGCGGTGGCCTACCGATGTATCGAGCCAGTGCTACCATACTCCCAGACAAGTATTACAACAATTTGCTGATACCGGAGAAATGTAGGAGTTCGTGCGCCAGGGTGTGGGGATCGATTCCATGTGTGTCCTGCAAAACGCCTCCCACCACCGCGCCACACGCACCCTTGTGCGGCAATATAGTGTTGTTAAATCATTCAGTTTAAACCGATAACGTCGCCTTTGCGTAATAGTGGAATTAGTGTTTTAGAGTTTCCGTTTACTCAATGAAAGATCTTTTGTGCTAAGCAAAAACAACACGGTTGACCGGAGCTTACAGGACCAAATCTATTTCAGTCGAGATGAAGGCTTAGTATAACTCAATGAAAATGCTGGAAACCTTGCGTTTTTGCTTTCTGTTTATGCCGACGCAATCCATCGATCTCTGTAGAGAATGGCGTTTCAAAAGCTCATAAACTATGGACTGCAGGTAAGTAGGATTATAGCAGACAATATCTCACCAGTTGTGCATTAGCACAGCATTGCTAATCCTTACATTGATTAAGAACCATACATCCTCACAGGTAACATGTGAAAGACCGAGTTAGCATATTCATAACAAGTAGCGATGAGTTCTTCAGATGGTTAGGTTTTTTTTTTTCTAGCAGGACCGAATCTTGTGTAGTTCTTCATCGAGGAAATAGCGTGTCAGAATCAAGAAGGGGAACTACTCGGACAATTTATCCTGTTCCTTCAATTGCGAGCTGAATGTGAGCACATGGCTGTCGGAGACATCAGAAGAGAGATCAGAAGAGAGTCCTAGTGGAAGCAGAGTTTCTGAGCGTTGAGGCAGAGGCCTCCGGTTATTTTTGAATTTCCGGCTTTTTGCTTCTATTGTGAAGGTGTTGGATAACTCAGTCGTGCTCTTCATTCATGTCACCGACGACGGTGCCTTCACACATGCTGGCCAAAAACTGCAGAAATCTCAATGTCCTGTGAAATTTAACTTCACACATTGAATTTTATGGCTTTCAGCCTCATACAACAAAAATTTTACCTGCTCAAAGATATGGTGTTGATAACGAAGATTTCAGCTTTTATTCCTGTATTAAGTGTTTCTGAGATTTAATGTCTGGTTTCAACTTAGAATAAATTTGCCAATCGAAATAAAACTAGAACAGTCTCTAAATATTTTTACCAGCGAAAAACAACTTTATTTACACCCGTTCCAAAAAATTCTACCCTTTTTGAGGTGATGAAGTTGTTGAAAGCAGTTTTGGCCTCGGCTTGTATTGGCTTGCATGGGTCTTCATAGTCGCATCGAGAAAGGTGCCGAAACGTCAGTCCATTAAAAATTTCTTAACAACTTCAGGTAAGCTGAAGAATACATCGATTACTCACTCCTAGGTTAAATGACGGATGAGTGCCTTCACTCATGGCTATTGTTAGGAATGGGTAGGAATAGAGAGCAAGGAAGTAGAAGCATTGAAGTATATTGCAAAACACATCCAAATTTTGACAGCAGTTTGTTTGTACGATGGAAGTCAGCAACATATGGCAGGTAGTGTCAAACACAGCTGGATACCCTTAGAAGGTATAAAGCAGCCTCTCCTATAATACTATCTTTCCCTTAACCCCCTTATGTCCTCCAGTTATCGAAGAATTACCTATTCGTGAAACAGCTGCAAGTCCGAAATTAGGCGCTGACCTTTTTGCCCGAGACAAAATTGGCGTTGGCACTAATTGGTTAGTGATCGTAAAGCTGATTGAAGGTGTGTATTGAGTACACTTTATATTTTCGGAAAGTGAGTGCTTTTATCCACCTGGAGAAGTCTGGCATTTCGCCACTTTCATGGGATTTAGGAATGGGCCAGCCTTTAGGATCGAACCAATGACTATGAGTGCATTGCAAGGCAGCCCTAACCACTGTTCTGCATTCTCCATTACTCTGAGCGATAATGATAATAATTTATCCATAAGCAGTCCCTCTAAAGGCCACTTTTTTACATTGAGAGATCAGAAAAGGCTTTAATGACTAGTGCAACAAAAAATATTAAATAGACAATCGTGAGCAGTTTTTGGGTGTGATACGAAAAGAAGTGCGTCAGAAGCTCCAAAGAGAAAAATCGCGAGAAAATTCTACTCGTTGATTTTTGGATGACTTCATCTTTTTAGTTGACACGGTGGATATAACTTGATCATAAACATCATTAATCAACCTACACCCATATCAGCTGACTTTTCGATCGTAGAAAAAACTATGGAATTCTAGCGACATTGTGAAATCTTTTCGTTTATATTATTGTCGTCCAGATTATTTTTTTTCATCCACGAATTGTCTACCCTTGTTGTATTTTCCCCGTATTCCATAAATCTTTCTCAGTTGGTGCTTACAATCAGCGTAGAAACATAGGAAATGTAGGCTATGTTTGAGAAATCGATCGCCAGTTAACATGGATCTATAATGGACAAACTAGACCACATGCCGAACAGTAGTTAGAAGCGTCCTGCGGTACATAAACGGTCATTGTAGCGCTCTGTGCTAACCAAACCCTGAATCTCTCTGGATCTGGAAAATTGGTACCAGATTTGTCTGAATGAATGACTTAATGCATCGCTGGAAATTGTGAGTCATTGCAGTCCTCCAATATATCTGCTCGTTTCTCCAACCTGTGCCACAACTAGACCATGCCTCCCTGCATGCTCCGGTGTTGTGAAATGGCTCCTAGCATACTTCAGCGGAATAAACCGCTTAAAACATCGGTGGGATCCCACATGGCACTATAACCCTACAATACTTATGTGATGGCTTCTCGATTCTGCTCCTCGAACAGACCAAGCTCCTCATTCGTCCTGTTCCACTAAATTGGTCTCATAATTGTCTCCGAAGAAAAACGTTTACTTTATACTGTGATAGATCCCGGCAAGTTGGTGTATAGGCCAAATATGCAATATTCAACCACATGTATGACGCTTAATGAAGCCGAGTGAATGCGGCATCCCTAAGGGATTGATTAACGCCGAACACCTTATCACCGATGAAACCACAAATAGAAAATCCTCAAGTTTATTTCTAGTACGTAATTTTAGAATGCTCTTTTCTTATCATAACTTTCCTGACGTCGTTTTTGATCTAAATGGCATTTAAACGAAAAGGGTGAAGTTATGATGACGAAGCTAACACGAAGGTAAATTAGAAACAACCTGTGTGAGGACGGCTAGAATGGCTGTGCTTATGATCAGCTTCTTCGTATTCCACAAAAAACCAAAGAAACCACGTTGATCTCTAAATGAAGTCCATTTGTGAAATTATGCTTTAGAAGCTACTATTTCCTATCTATAGGGTACTCAGTAAAACCACTTTCGACTACGATGTGTTGAAATCAATGCATGCTATTGCGAATCTGCTAAATACAGGTGCATGCATTCTACTAAAACTATTTCACTTTTCAATGATAACTGGCAGTATCGATGCGCTGAATGACAACAAAAATATCAGACTTTATCTCAAATTCCTACTTCAAGCTGTACTTTTGGTCTCAACTTAAGTAACAAATACCTTCATTATTCTAACTACTGTTGAGATTCTAAGACTTTTCCAACAATGCTGAAATCATAGTGAATTTTGCTTAGTAGTGTATTTGCAGCGGTATATGCCATACCTTTTCAACGGAAACAGAATAACTACGCATCGCTGCAGGAACATCACAAGCCAAACCCAATTCACGAAACAAGCGGCTGAATTCGAGATGAACAACAGTACTTTGCAAAGAATCGGACCTGAAAAAATGCAGTGTCGACCACCTCGAAACACTCGTTTCACTCCTGCCCTTATTCCTAATATGTAACTCCACTGTTCTTCTTCCCTGTCATGTGGAAACACGTGATTAGAGTACTTCAGTCACACATATCTCATTATATTTTTATTACAGTACACTTTTTAAAATTGTTTGTCTGAAGCAAATTAATTCTTTAATACAGAGCTTAAGGTTACTGAATTACTTTTATGATACGATTAGTCATGGCAGGAAATGAGGACAGAAATACGACATGTGGTAAATTCACAATCGTGTGCGGAGTTTGGGACAACAGGGCAGCACAGTGTTTGTGAAGTGAACGTTTCCTGTTTTCTACACTCATCAAAAATAACGCCTTTATGTCATCGATTTTTATTCATTAACTACTATTTTCTAATGGCAAGGCACAATGTTCACATGTTTCACATTTACAGAGTTAGTGCTCTGCCATTAAAAAATACTAGGCAACAAATAAAAATTGGCGATGCTATGATATCATAGCTTCAGCTTAACTGGTTTCGTGCCGATTTGTGCTTTCCAGATCAACCCCGTTGACGGGTGATTGTTCATAGCGCCTATAGGTCAATAACATGGCTGTGAGACGAACGAAACGAAGGACTCGCATGGTGTGGTGGTGAATGCGGCCCCAGAAAGGGTAATCGCGTGTTCCGTCTCCACCGCAGACACCAGCGATCAGGAGTTTCGCAAATATCTAAGCAACATTGTAGTTAACGCCTTTACATTCGATTTTAGAATAATTTTAATAAACCATTTCGATTTCGGTTCAGATCAATTTATCAGCGAAAATAAAGCCAGTTAAATGAGAAATTTTAACAGGTTTCAGTTTGAACCCCAAGAAAAATCTTCAATAATACAAAAATAAGATATTCAACTTGGGCGTTTGCAACTGAGCAAACATTTAAAATAAAAGAAATCCCTAATCCAGATAAAAATAAAAGCTAACAAACCTTTCATAGATATGAAGAGCGACTGCGACATGATATCGATGAGAATGATGAGTAGGGTCGTAATATCGGCGAAGATGATCCAGATAAGGAAATGAAAGCAATATGATTTCTTCATGTGAAACAACATAAAAAGTGCCTAAACATAAACAGTGGTTTACTTAACAGATTTGGGATTAGGTTGGTTAAAGTTAAGTTCAGCTAAATAGGAATCTGAATTCAGAATACAAAGAGCTAACCCATCGCTTTTCTAGTTCCTCATGCCTAGATAACATTGAACAAAATAGATCGACCTTAAACACTCTTAAAGGATCATATTCTTCCGTGAATTGTCCTCGTTTAGTGAGTTCGTCATGCGCTTTCTAAATGGCATGCAGGGCCACGAAGGTCCGAAAGGGATGGACGCGGAAATCGCGTTTGTGAAGCGGTCTGTGCCTTTTGCTTTGGTTATCTCAACTGAAATTGCCCTTGAATATTCCAAGTGTTTAGAACTTTTGATTTACACTACCTTTAAAATTTATGAAGCACTTGCTGCATGTAGTTATTTAGAACAGAAAATAACAAGTTACTTGAATAATTCAACCAACGATCTTCCCAAATAGTTGTGCGAGGACGAGAATAATTTCTCTTTTAAAAATTATCTGCTGGGGGGCTAACATTTTCATCCTTTCATTGGCCAAATCGTCATCATAGGAAGTCACCGGTCCTTAATAATCGAAGAGATATTTGCTTACTTGGGACTAGGTTGCTGTAACAGTAGTGATTCATGGCGTTGGTTTGCTCTTATCAGGGCTTCCGGATGGAAATACTCCATTCCTACACACCTAGCTTCAATATCTTTTTTAAATATTTGTTTTTCACCCATGTTTACGTCGATTTGTTGCCTCATTGATTTTGCTGCTGATCTTGGATGTCAAACCGATGTTCCACTTAACTTATCGCACCAGTTGTCAGGTCGGCATGCTGTTAAAAAAAATTCGTCATTTTCACCACTCCTAAACCCATTTAAGAGTAAATCTCTGCCACTGGAAAACCCGATAAGAAACAGCTCGCTAAGACCAGTTAACATAAAGAGTCTTGTACAAGATATATGACGCGTATCATAAACAAATGGAGCCTAATAACTCTGGAACGCAAGACAGATGAAAGAAAATTTTAATGCTGTCTTTACGAGTTATTCGATGACAAACGGGACTAGGTGTGACACATATGATTATTCTGATAGCGGAAAGTTTGCGATAAATCCCACCAACAAGCCGTGGGTACTCTTTCACCAAAAGGAGGAAAGATTCCCTGATAAAAAATACGAAAACCACATGTGTGATGGCTTTTATTCACTTCGTCCATGCGGAACCAACTGTTCTGCTTTGGTGCACACAAACGCAAAGTGGAAACTTAAGTCACTCGGTGACTGATAGCACTAAAGGTGCTGCTGCAGGTTTTTTAATCGTTATAAATTTAAAGCAATTCTCCAGTTCAAGTGAATTCGAATATTTTGCTTTCATTTGCTGCCGACTATAATTTTCCACGGCAGGGTATTATGTGGAAGACAACCACAACGGTGTTGAGATATTTGCAAAACTCCGGGACGCAGGTGTCTGCGGTGGGGAACGAACGCGCTATTACCCTTTCGGGGACTAATGCGTTCACCACCACACCATGCGGATCCATCTCAGCATCTTTGTGACTAAATTCGGCTAGTTTTGGAGGCAAGAAAAAGTGGCGTTAGATAATAAACAATCGGTGTTCATAATGAAATTTAGGTTTACAACTGCTCACATACCCACGATATTACTGCAACTGATGCAAAAATAATTATCAATATCAGCCAGAACTGAACTCGTGACACCAACATCCAAACCCGAAGCGAGTTCTCTTGCCATTCGAAGGACTGCGACATCTGGAAAACGGTGCGGTCAAAGCAATTCAGTTGCCGTTAGAATCGTATGGAAACTTCGAGAATGAACGGCATAAGAACGCTCGGATGTGGGCCTACAAAGACTATAACAATGGGAAATCGCACAGAATACATTTTTTGAAGACTAATGAAAAAGATTCGGCTCGATACGATGGCGAAGACGCAAAGTCAAGAAGGCGAGCAATTGTAGACCATCGACTCCGATCATCCGGTTTGACGAAGACGAAGACGTCGAAACGTTGGCCCAGTAAATGTTGTATAACAATCTCGTATAAGTTCAACAATTTAAACACGTGTACACAACAAGGCTCCAAAATATATGAGAAAAAGGGATAACTCTAAAATGCAGTGTTACACATTCATAATCTACTTAAGTGATTCACTTGAAGAAATTTCCATTCCTTCGTCTTTTACGCTCAAATAGGCCTTGATGTAGATGACTTGCCATATTGTAGAGGCCAGAGAATTCAGAATCGCGTTATCATTTACGTCTCGAAAACACCATATGTAAACAAAGCAATTGCACTGTTATTTATGCAGTAGGAACTCAATGAAATACAGTCGAGAACAGCTTAACACGTAGTGGCTCTATTTTGAATGAGACAAGTTAGAACTGTAGTTATAATTTTCCAAAGATGTTTAATGGAATCATCTTAATGAGATTTGATGAAGGGTAGCTCAACCGTTATGTAATTCCTACGACCGACTTTCTACTAACTTCGGCGTTAATCAAATAATTCTCTACATTCTTGTTAAGTAAATAAGAGGTGTTGCTTTGTAAATTATTGACAATAATGTTGATATTTCGGCGGGTTTCGCCTCTTTCAAAGCATGGAAAGGTCAAGCTGGTTGCAATCTTTCCAGTCAAATATTTCCTTAAGCAAGCAGAAAAATACTAAGCCATGATTTCAATCATATTGAAAATAAAATAGCTTCCTTGCACACTCACCTCTTCCTATGACTCCTTAACAGCGTATTTCAGGTGAAGACCAGCTTTCACAGGAAAGGGTAATGAACTTTAACGTTACCCTTCCAATACGAGCTCTGTCCAGTTGGTTTCCAAGTGAAATACTCAGTTGAAAAGTTATGGAAAGCGCTGACTGTGCAGAGAAGCCATTTTGTTTTCTATGTGATTAAAATCTTGGTTTAGTATTTTCTTCATTTGGTTCTGGAGGTGTTCTTCTCACTAGGTTGCCATCGACTTAAGCTTCTCAGGATCTGAGGAAGGAGAAATCCGCCGAAACGTCGGTATTATGATATGGTAGCCCGTTCCTTCCAACTCATTAAAGTGATCGGCAAACTCTACAAATGAGGACAGCTTCTCATATTCGCGTTGCGGCCACTGCCCTGATTTTGAACTAAAGTGGTAAACGGGCATGAACCTCTCAGGCTGCATATTCCCTGATGGAAGCGCCGTGCATTTGAATCCTTCAAGCACTGTGCAGGTGATTCAATTCATATTTTTCCTTCACAATCACTCCCGGTGGTCTATCGATGTGCCTAGTCAGTGTTTTTATCCTACTAAAAAATCTGGTTCCCAGTTTATTTACGTAGATGTGGTGGAAGGCTTTATGAGACCAGAGCGACTGTTCGAACCTTCATTCGATCCAGAGTGTATTGAAGACCACTCCCAACCACTGCGCGACCAGAGTTCAGAGTTTCGTTGTTTTTCCTTCTCATACGGAGATCGGTAAGCAACAGTTTGAACTGTGGTTTGAGTTAACATAAAATTGCGGAGCCGTCTTCTAAAAAAGAAAACTGGAGTGACTTATCCTTTAGAAAACTCCTAAATGTTCTTTCCAGATAAGGCCTTTCAGCAAGAACATTTCCATTGAACAAAGAATTATGCCAAGCACTCTCTGCACCCAGCGTCTTGCTCTCTGTTTTCACAGAATTGCTTGGTTTCAAGTGAGATTTAGAACATAATGAGAATACAATTTGGGCCGTTTCAGTGTTTTTCATTGTCATTGTCAGATAGATTCTCTTGAATATGGTGATCCTCTGTCGTCACGAAGCAGGTTCGTATTTGGAGTGTTCGTAAATCGTGACCATCTGCGCTGATTCAGGCACCAGTACTCTTTAAGCCAACTCAGTTACTAAGAAATGTTTTAAATCACATGTGACAAAAAGCCTAACTTTCCATAGAGACAAGTTTTTTAAACTGAACGAACTTCTGAGTCATCAAGCTAGCACACGATCTTATGAATTCACATAGAAATCGACAATATATGGACGATGAGATGTAACACTCGTAGTGAAGTAGATGAACCACTTCAGAAATGAAAGATTTTGGAAGTTTTTCAATCTAAGCTTAGCGAGATTCAAGGAAGAACCTCCAGACGTTTTAATTCGGTGAACGGTGAGGGTAGCGCAATTTCGCAGGAAAGGCGAACACTTGGCTAATTTTCCGAGAATGCTTCGACTTTCGCTGTTTCCCATGCATTTTTTACAATTCTTACTAGGAATGACTGTGGCTATTTTAATAATGATTACTGTAAGGTGTGTCTGAACGTGACATTCCACTTGAAAAGTTCATCGCAGTATTTCCATAACCGATCATTATGATCACGACAGGCTACCAGACAACAAACTCGGCGGTATCTTTAAGGAATCGCTACAGGACTGTTAATCTCCAAGCAATAAGATTCCATCGCATAAAAGAAAATACAAAGAAAACTTCTTCATATATATTATACATACGATATTATATTGTATTTATATTATACATTTACGGGGTTGATAGCACAGTGGTAGTGATGCCGACCATCACGAGCACAGTGCTGGTTCGAAACGGAGCTGGATCACGAAACCCTTCATTTCTCCGGGGCCGAAAAATTGGTGATGGACTTTCTGGAAAAGATCAATCTCTGCAGTCCAGTTGGAAGCACTCTAGTCCGGTTATCTCAGAACTACAGGAGGATTTGCTCGATCAGTACTCTACGACATTGAAGATGAAATGGAAATCCTCAAACAGCAACCGAAGGCACACGTAAAAGTTGGAAGACCTTCGTGGATAATGCGAAGGAACGAATCGAATATAAGAAGTACTACGATCCGCACGGTAGACGTGAAGACGGCTCATATAGAATAAAAATTAAATTAAAATATATTTTATATTATATATATTTATATATATATACCTACACATATACATATATATTCATATATTACAATGTATAAACAAGACATCGCTCAAACCCTACTGGTGTAATAAAGACACCAGCGACGTAGTAAGAAAGAGTAAACTCAGCGTAGGATCGATTTTTAGAACCTTCCTTAAACATCTGACTTCTTTTAATGTTAACCTTTGACTTTTTGCCTACTATAATTTTTTAAGGCAGAGTATGATGTGAATTACAACTACTGCTGAGATATTCGCAAAACTTGGACCCCGGACCAGATCGAACCACGATTTCCGTTTCTGGGAGGTCGTGCATTACACGCTATGCCACGGAGGTCTTAACTTATTTTAACTTATTGTGCGTTTTAATTTCTATAGAAAGTTTCGCGTTCTGTTTGTTGTAGAACTGAACTATTAAGCGTCATAGATCGAAGAAGGTTGCCATTTAACTTCTTTATTAGCCGTTCACTTAACTAAACTTGGAAAGAAACGTGGTCTTTAGCTCTTTTACGAAATTATATATAGCTTTTAGAATTAGACTGGTTACTAATTACTTAACTTGAAGAAAAACGTTTAAAAGCAAATGCTCAATTACGAAGTCTCAGCTACGAACAGTCACTCTCAATTACGAATAGTGAAGTGTTTTGACCGTAAATCACTTCCACCGTATTCTTATGTTTGCCTAACTCTTCACAATCTGTTTTTTGTTTATCCAACTTCCTTCTCAGAACAATTCCTGGTGTTTTTCTGTCTACATTCTTCTTCATTCTCATGTCTTTTTCATAAGTATACGTGCCAATCCCTAAAAGTGATATTTTTCACATAAATGATGTGAAACTACGTACTTATAGGCCGATAACACTAGTGGTGAAACGATTACAAAAAGACTAGAGCTTACTATTATCTGAGATTCTTCAGCTACCACTAAATTGGTGCAAGAGTTTTATTCGGTTAATCATTTGGACACTTCGCCTTCTTCAGAGCCGCGCTGATCCGAGTAAAACTTTTATGCTAACCTCGTGTAAGGTTGACAATCTAAAAACATACACAGTATTTATGACGAAGTAGGACGATATTCGAAAGTAGAGTTGATTATTTCTTCACGAATTTTCCCACCTTCTATAATGAACCGCCTAACAAATCGATAAGGGTACAAGTTATTCCTAAAACTGAAAATTACAACGCGTTAATTTTCAAAACAGCTCAAAATTAAGCACTTCCATTTGATCATCCGAAATCCAACAATGTTTATAATCTTTCTCTCACAACACGATTGATGAGACCGAGTCTGAAAGCTTAAAAAGTCGGTGAAGTTGAGAAACATACAGTAGACCACCACGCGACAGTGAAATCGATAAGATCTCTAGATTATTTAAAACGAGATGTGATGGAAAGACCCCTCTAGAGTAAGTAATATCTGCTTCAAATCAAGCAGATACAAGCGAAATCGAGCAAAGACCGGCTTTCTTTTCAAATCCTCGTTGTCACAAAACATTCTAGTGGTCTCAATGACGTCATAGTTAATGAACATGCTGTTCTTACAGCACAAAACAGAACTGTTCCATCACAAAGTAAAACGAATGTCCTCTTCATCAGAGTAAAATTTCTGTTGAAATAAGAACGCCATTGTTGTCTCGAAACAAATATCCACACTTTGAGAAGGACTATATAAGATTTAATAAGACCGCTATGATAACAGAACACATACACTTAGGTGGCACTTCAAATGAGAAGAGGATCCACCACTCGAACTAGTGCATTCGTTCTCTGCCCACACTCATCTGAACGCTAAGACTTCCTTTTATGGATCCATCTAGAAATGTTAACGGGATAATATCGGTAAT